GGCAATTAGTCGGATAAGGACAAACATGTTTGAAGCTGCGAAAGCCATCGAAATGAGATAGTAGGGCCCTCCACAAGCAATCATCGTACCGATTGCACCAGATAGGAGAAGGGAGATCATCAAAGCGATGGTAGCGCTCTGTAGCTCGTCATGGGTCATAAAGGCTGAAAGGTAGAGACCACGACCGATAATTGTGAGTAGAATGATGTCGATCAATGCTGGGAATGCGAAAACACCGAGGAAAGTAAATCGCTGGTAGCCAGGCATCGGCTTAACCTTGTGATCCGGATTAACGTCGATTTGGGCACCAGCATAAGATGTGGCCATCTCAGGCGCGCCATTGATCCAATCGGGGAGCTTCTCATCGTCGTACTCCCTTCTGAAACGATCCGAGAGCAGCTTTCCAAAGGCGCTAGGCTGAACATCAAAGTATACCTCACAGCGTGACCCTAAAGCAAACGATTCTGAGAAGGCGGCTGCTTGATCTGATTGATTGTTGAACAACGGGTTACGATCGGTCACTTCAGTATAAATTTCATCAATTGCCCCTTTCCTCGCGGCGCAGAAAAGTGCCAATGCCATGATATCAGTATACGCATCAATGTGTTCATTCTGAAGCAGCTGGCAGAAGCCCTTTGACACGAGAGCAAGGTCCTCCTCGCGATGCTCCCTTAGCATCTGAGTAAAAGCAGCACCCGCCTGGTAGAACAATGCAAGACATTTGGATGGAGATGGATGTTGGCACCCCTGCTCTTGGTACCATTTGATGCGGGTATTAACCAAAACTTCGGGAGATGCCGAGCCTTCAAGATACGAGACCGTGTTAAGGTCCTTCAGCTGAGCGAGTGAAGGTGCATCAATAAGCAGTCTCCGAATGTATGCACAGATAGTATCTGAGAGCTCACTGTATGAGTCGGTCAAGGAGAGATGCTGAAATAGAAGCAGTCGCTCTTCTGGGCTCAGCATGTCGATATCTTGGACGAATCGGCGAGGAAGTCCGGTATCATTGACGAGGTCCTGGGACCATTTGGATAAAGCGGTTTCCATCTCAAAACAAACGTGGCGGGGGTAACCTTTTGCGGACAAGAATGTATGCAGTACAGTTCCTGCTAAACCTGGGGCCTTTTTGGAAGCAAAAACTTCAAACCCATCCGAGTCCATCTGGTAAACTGCCCAAAAGCGCACGTCGACACTCTTACGAAGTCCTGAGTCCAATCCAAGGTTGACCTGCAATGAGCCGTTAGTTGCCAGATTAGACAGTTCCTTGATCGAGGTCGCGAGTTGGTCCGAGGTTGCGTTTGAAATAACGTAAGGATCTGAGCTGGTTGCATTAGGAAGCATATAAGATTCATGAAATTTCTTGAGGAGCAGGCCGATGCTCTGAATCTTGGACGCAGGAACCGGGTGGAGCAATCCCAGTGATTTAAGGCGCAATTGGGACTGAAGGACTTCGGCAAAGGCAAGTGCTGTTGCCTCAGATCCAAGCGGGAAACAACCAAGAGAGTTATATTCAATGCCGGCCATTGATATGGAAAGCGGACTCCCTAAAGATTTCACCTGTGCTACCCACTCCGGTGGATCGCGGAGTTTTGTCGTCAACTCGTTGCTCTCAGGTTGACTATATTCCGACGAGGTAAGCAATTCTTCCAGGGCAGGAAAAAACGGCAACAATGTATTCCAAGCGCTCGTGTCGGATGCATCATTCTTGATATGCAAATTGGAGCGCCAGCGATCGTGAGCTTTGATGATTTCGGCATCTTTCAGCCATCCAAAAGAGGAGAGAGGCTCTGAGATCTTGACGTTAAGGGCAGCGTTTGTGAGAGCCGACTTCCGACCAATCCATGGGATCGCACTGTAAAAGTTACACCATTGGAGAGACCTTCGGACAACAGCATTCGATAGTGCGGCATTGTCATCGATTGTCTCCCACGCCATCACCACGAAATCTCTCACACAAGCTTCGGAGACGAACGCCTTGATGGTGGGTTGCATTTTCACGAGTTGAAAATAGTCGCGCTTCTGACCTTCTGGTAGTATACTAGCATTTTGAATAACTATTCCGGAAATTGCAGGGTTCTGCATAGAGTTGTGGTCCTTGAGAAAGTCTGGGGGTGCTGTCTCCAGGTAAACTGCCAAACCCAACTCATCGATCACCTCGATGAGCTTAGTGAAAACCGGGGTGGGAAACTTCCCTTCCCAATTGGCCAGTACCATACCGCTGAAGTTAGCACTATCGAATGTGCCTGTGAGAAGATTTTCAATCTTTTCGATTGCTGACAATGTCGACTCATCCTTTGAGAGGACATGATCAAGGTCAACTCTTCCCAATAACTGCTTACCCTCCACATAACGAATTGCTTGGGCTGTGCCCGACTGAAATGGATCAACGATCAACAGGTCCCATTCATTCAGGAGCCGAAGCTGATCCCGATCTGGTGGGGAGCTGAATGAACCAAGATAGACGCCAAAGGAAGACGGCTTGCGTCTTTGAATGTTTGGCACATTGAGCAACTTGTTGGAAAGAGTAACCAACCGTTGAGATACATTGGGCGGCACTTTCTCTGAACGTGGCCTTGTCTGTGATTGGGATCAGGTGAGCGATAGATCAGATATACATTCACAAGCAAATCAAGGTAGTCCTACCTTAATGTAGTTGAGTAGTTTCTTCGTCCCAGAGTACAGAAGCCACAAGGATCCTGTAGCAACACACGCTATTAAGATACCGATGAACACCTAGCATAGCATTAGTCAATGATATTTGAAACATATATGCAATCACTACTTACGAACTGCCACCAATGATCTTTCATTCTATCCCAGCCGAGGGCTGAGACGTGGAGGATTTCCGCCATCCTGATTAGATATTGCAGGCCAACCTCACAGGTCTGACCATCAAAACGAGAGACTAAGAAAGAAACGAAAGTGAAGGGGTTAAAGAATTATGCCCTTGAGGGCATATGGCGTTAAAAGGGCAACTGTCAAAGTGCTAAGTGCTCATGACAACAACGTCGTGCCGCTTTACGGGGCCAAAGGTCAGATGAGATCTGAGACCGTTGAAGGTGAGGCTGAACGAATGAGAATAGAACAAAAAGGGTATTTCAAAAGCGAGTGATCCAAAAAGAAACGAAGGAAAAAACGAAGGTACAAGGGCAAAAGTAAGAAAAAGTAAAGAAGAAAGATACAGCAAGTTGGAGACTGAGTGAAAGAATGTTACCCAACATGCATTCATCCAACATTCGCTTGTACCTCAATGGAAGAAAGCGTCTTTTTCCTTTTTTTTCTTTCTCTCTTTTTTTTTTTTTTTTTACCACTTAGCCTTAGTTAGGTTGCAGATGGCGATATGGCCAGTGTTCTCAGTTCTAGCCTCTAATTATGGAACCACCCTGATAGCAGGGGCGCGTCTGATAGTGCAGGACTCAAGAGGCAGACAAAAATAGCCAGCGACCAGGACTAGTCTGTCACTAAAACAGGTTAGGGTGTCGGAGGACAGTCAGATGGAAAGGATTAAGAAGACAAGGTCCATTATAGGTATAGTAGCATGAGGATCCATCTCGGGCAGATGCGATTGAGACGTGGGGAGGGAGCCAAAAGCGTGGCAATCCACCAACTAACGACAAACTTCTCGGACAGCACCGAGAAAAAGTTAGATGGAACGGTGACACTCGATGAGTACCAGTGACCGAAGGTCATGATGCAGAAAAGCGGACAGCTTGCCTCCGATTCCATGGGGACGAAAAGGAAGAGATTTTCTCCCACTCATTGACCATTGGGTAGCACAGTTGTCGGGATTTATGATCTGTACGGTCATTGGTGGTGTCTGGCATAGTGGATTTTTGGAAAGTGTTGTCTGGATCAAGGCGGAGCGTCTGGAAAAAGTTAGTATGTATGAAAAAGACAAAAAAAAAAAAAAAAAAAAAAAAAAAAAAAAAAAAAAAAAAAAAAAAAGGAATAAAAAAAAAAAAGATAAAAATAAAAACACTGAATAAATTAATAACCTTCGTGGGAGGATCACAAAAATAAAAAGTTGGATAGCGGGGCGGAGATGCATACAATCCAAACAGGGTTAAGTGTGGTGGTGATCCTAAGGTTCAACCGGTATTGTACGGTATGGTTGAAGTTTGCAAAAGATTACTTTGATATTTGACCGTATTTCAGGTTGAACCGTTTTACGATAATTTTCATGACAATCGGTACTGCATGTATGTACCACACTAGCCACAGTCGGTACCTACTACAGTATTCCCGCCGTACCTGAACCGACTTTTTGAGGTTAGTTGAACCACCCGCTAGCCTGGAGACCATCAACACAAGTCGAAAATCCTCTTCACACTAAAATTGTGTCGACTAGTACAAAAATAATTGGGAATCAATCAATACGAGTCAGCCTGCATGGAGCCGACAAGGTTTCTCCGACTCTTTGATCCGTGAAATCCGTTCTCGATTTCCTCTTTCCAACTTCCTTCTCGTTTATACCCCACAGCTGGCCCCTTTCATCCAGTTTATCGCCCCTTGAGACGCTGAGGCTCCAATTCAGGTCATGGAGACCCTTTACTAATTGGAATCCGATTTTGCCTCGAATGTATCTTGGCAATGGTATCAACTCTTCCGCAGCGGCTCAGCCCACTGCTTCCGGTTCATGGCCGAATGTTTTACGAGCAACTCCGTATCGCTTCTCTCCTTCCCTGGTTGCCCATTGACTAGTGCAGGGAATATCCACGATGCTGACTGGGAAGCGATGGAGTACTCAACCTATTTCGTCTTAATGCAATTTCCACCCATGCAAGCCATCGGCTTTTACTACATCGCCTCCGTGGACTGAATCGATTCTTGGCTAGTATTTATTTTATTTCTATTTGTTATTTTTATTTTTATCTAGCCCTTCTATATTTCGGCAAACTTAGTCTCTTAGGGTTTTAAGGAAATCTGAGTCCAATTAAAATAAGTAAAAGTATAGAAAGACAAAAATGAATAAAAATTTACTCCGTAGCCGACAGAAGTTTGTGAATACACCAGGTGGTCCTATAGTGGAGCTTCCTTCAGGGTGAACACAGAAGATTTGAAAGCTTCTGCATAGAGCGATAGGCTCTGAAGCTCCCGACTTCCGCTATAGAAAATTGATGTATATAATGTGATTGTGCCCGCATCGACCGACAGGATTTGTCGATCAGCAGGCATTCTCGTGGATTGGACCCCAACAGGTCCACACTGTCATTCGTTATCATTCGCTCTCAATCTCTGCATCTTTTTCTTGTCTGTTTCCACACACACCCCCCCTAGGGTCCATTCAGGAACCTGGACCAGCTTCCAATGGTTCTGCCGTGGCTACTCAGAACTGGTTGTTACTTCGGACTTATAACTTGCGACACTCCCCCAGGTGTTTGGCCTGAAGGTATCCCAAGTGTGATTGCTCCTGTGCCTCCCTCACGCACATCTGGAGTCACGACCAGCTCTCCCGACATTACTTCGTCGGTCCTGTCGTTAACTTCTTCCCCTCCTGTCACGGGGTCATCGTCTTTCGTTACTACCACTACTTCTTCTACTTTCGCTTCCTCCACTTCAACCTCTCTACCTTCGTTTACTAGCACACTCGTTTCTGTCAGCACTCCTGTGAGTGCCTCCAGCACAATGTCTCTAATTCCTACTCCTTCGTCGAGTATCATTCCTTCCGCAACACCTTCCGCTTCGGCCATTACCAACGGTAACGTCGCGGGTGACATCTTGGTGATTGCGAAGGACACAGCTGCTGCTAATGTGGCTACGTCGGGCCTCAATGGCTATGGTATTCCTTTCACCACCTTGCTCGTTCCCCAGTCCGGTGCTACCCTGCCCGAGCTGAACAGCACCTCCGGAGGAAACTTTGGCGGTATCGTTGTTGCGAGCGAGGTCAGCTACGACTATGGTGCCCAAGGCTTCCAGAGCGCTCTGACTACCGACCAATGGAACCAACTCTATGCCTATCAGCTCGAGTACAGTGTACGCATGGTGCAGTATGATGTCTATCCGGGACCCAACTACGGTGCCTCTGCCGTGGGTGGGGGATGCTGCGACTCCGGTGTGGAGCAGCTTGTTTCTTTCTCGGACGTCAGTGATTTCAAGGAAGCCGGCCTGAAGACCGGTGCTGGTGTCAGTACGACAGGCCTCTGGCACTACCCAGCCACAGTTAATGATACTGCTACCACCAAGGAAATTGCTCGTTTCGCCGCCAACGGTAACTACGGCAGCGAGACTACTGCTGCAGTCATCAACAACTTCAATGGCCGACAGCAAATGGCTTTCTTCTTGTCCTTTGACACCACCTGGAGTGCAACTTCCAACTACTTGCAGCACGCATGGATCAACTGGCTCACTCGGGGTCTCTACGCTGGCCACCGTCGCGTCAACCTCAACACCCAGATTGATGACATGTTCCTGGAAACCGATATCTACTTCCCCAATGGAACGGCTTTCCGTATTACCACCGCTGATATGGATGGTATCTCTAAGTGGCTTCCGACCATCAACGCCAAGATGAACGCTGGTAGCTCCTACTTTGTTGAGGTCGGACACAATGGCAACGGTGTCATCGAGGCCGCCACTGGCAAGGATGCCGATGTCTGCAACGGAGGCGGCATTGAATACGACTCTCCGCCTGATACTCCTATGGAGTTCAAGAAGCCTCTGGGCACTGGCACTGACCTTTGGCCCAAGGACCAGACCGAGTATAACTGGACTACTGAATGCACCAAGTTGGACGATCTTTTCATCTGGTGGACCACCCCTGCTAACCGCGACAAGTATGGTCACATCTCTCACACTTTTACTCATGAGGAGCAGAACAATGCCACCTACAACGACGTTAAGCGGGAGATCTCTTTCAACCAGGCTTGGCTGAGACAGAGCGGTTTCTATGATGCCAAGTATTTCACATCCAACGGTATCATCCCTCCCGCCATCACTGGGTTGCACAACGGCGATGCCTTGCGGGCCTGGTACGAAAACGGCATCACCAACTGTGTTGGTGATAACACTCGCACACCGCTCCTCAACCAGCAGAACAGCATGTGGCCATACTTCACTACCTTCGCATCGGATGGATTCGATGGTATGCAGGTGAACCCTCGTTGGGCCACTCGCATCTACTACAACTGCGATACCCCTGCCTGCACCGTTCAGGAATGGATTGACACATCCGCCGGCAGCGGTGACTTCAGCAACCTGCTCGCGACCGAGAAGGCCGACACCATGCGCCATCTCTTCGGTCTTCATCGCGATCCTTACATGTTCCATCAGGCCAATCTTCGCAATGTTGGCGTTGACCCGGTTGAGATCAACGGCGAAACTGGCCAATGGTCCATTATGCAAGCGTGGGTGGAAACCATGGTGCAGGAACTCGTGCGCCTGGTAGACTGGCCCATTGTTACCATCACGCACCAGGAGGTAAGTTATAGTAAACTTGGAAGCTCGCCTTCGCAAAACCCCGCCATTGCTAACTAATTACCCCAGATGTCGGCCAACTTCCTCGAGCGCTACAACCGTGACCAGTGCAACTACTCCCTGCAGTACACCATCGGCAACAAGCAGATTACTGGCGTGACTTTGACCGCCAAGGACAACACCTGCAATGCCCCCATCCCCGTCAGCTTCCCTGTCGCCCCCACCGACACCAAGGGCTTCACCACCGAACAATACGGCAGTGACCCACTCACCGTCTGGGTGCAGCTGTCGGGATCCCCCGTCACTTTCTCTCTCTCAACTCCTATTCCCTTGTAAATGGATTGAACGATATTGAATTATGGAAGGGCTTTGAGAGGATTCCCTGGACCATAATATCTAATGTTATTAATGGGTTTCGTGTAGCGATTTCGAATAGGGGGGAGAAATGAATGAATATCTGGTACATATATACATACATAACTCTACATGCATATCTACATAGTACCTAGTACCTAAGTACACACGATCCTTGAGAAGAAGCCTGCGTCGCAATGAAAATCGCGTAGATCCTCCCGCCCGCAAAAAGCAAAGATGCACACAGCCACCCACCAGCAACAACCCAAACGGGGAATTTCCTCTCAACCAGGCACGGTTTGCAAGTTGCACACTGGACTGCCCCTCCCGGAATCATCCACCCACATATTCCAAGATCAATTGATGTTCTTCTACAGAAACTCCCCACGCCCCTGACTCACAGCACTAACCCCCAACATCCCACACTCCGCCCCCAAATCCGAAGATACACCGACAACAAGAAAAAGAAAAGGGAAAAAAAAAAAAAATATGATAAATCTACCTTCCCCAATTAATCAACGAAATCAATCCGCCACATTGAATGACCCGGCCTAGAACTCCCGTTGCTCTTTTCCTCCCAATCATTGCGCCTCCCCTCACCTCATCCGTTGAGAGCGGGATGCCAACGGAAAGTGAGACATGGCGGACTTGGCAGGATCCGTGATTTGATATCCCAGAACAAGTATTTCCCTGTTTTTGATCCATATCCTTACTATTAGGGTTTTAAGCGACCTCTAAAATTAGTCTAGTCGTTTCCCCAAACAGTAGGGTGTATCCAATTTATATTAAATTGATTAGCTGTCAAAAAGCCCCAAGGACGATTTATAAGCATTGATTGGCCGCATTAGTTAGTTCCCCTCCAAGGATGGTCTGACACTTGACTGGCATCAACACTAGTCTGGAGTAAGTAGTTACTAAGTTTCTTTCCATTGCCAACTCCACAACAGAGTTCAACCCTAACCTAATCCTCATCTGAAGGAACACAAAGGACCAGTGATTGATAATTACTGGATGAGACTTTATCGGGGTTTAACTTTGGGAATGTCATATATTTGGTAATCATATCAGTTTGACATATGGAGTGCCAAAGTAAAAATAAAATAAAATAAAATAAAAATAAAGCAAAATATCAAAAGGTAGGTTAATTCCCGATACCCCTGTCCTGTCTTGTTCCTGTCGCCGCACATGATACAGCATACCACATACACATTAATATGTACACACAGACACGTATGGACAACGAACTCTATATCTGTGCGTTTTTTTACCACTAGACTGGAGACTAGATAGTTGCCAAGTGTGTCATTCTTGCATCAGACATGACTCGGAGAAATAATCTCGATCGTATGCTTTTTCTCGTATTCGAGCCGAGAAGGGCGGGGGCGAGGTCGAGACTGAAGCAACTAGAAACCAAAACTGTGAGCTATAATATGACCTGATCATGTATGATGAGAGAGTCCGTCGGGCCATATAGTGGCGAGAGCGGTCTAGGTGTTGGACGTCGGAAGATGCCGTCGCAGCCGGGCATCTTGGCTGTTTCCTTACTTGTTTGAATTATTGGATTTTAATTCCTCCGAATTGATGTATACCCGACATATGTATGTATGTATGTATGTATGTATGTATGTATGTGTAGACACGGTAGTAGCCTTCCCCCACGCCCACTTCTCCAATAACGGCAGTAACTGTGCTGCAGGACAAGCTTCAGCCAACTGCCAGGGTCCGAAGGCTCTGCGCTGGCGGAGTGTGACTGGTCCAAAAGACACACTGAATGCTCGCAATCCTACCGGCCGATGGCGGAGGGAAAATAGAGCCTTCCTCCTAGTCCCTCAGATGACAGCTGGATCACTGAATCAAACTCTTCTTGGCACTTTACTGACAACCTATAGACAGTCTCGGGTAAAGGGATGTTGACTCCTAAACGCCCTCTTATTCCTAAGACCTAATCGAAGGAAGGGAAATCCTGGCGATTGGTTGAGGAGAGCGCATCGGCCAACACCGTGTTGGGAAAGAAGAAAATAGTTGATGACCGGTTCCTCCGCGCCACTGAAACGTGGTAGTGGAGAAACAAAGAATAGAATATCCTTCATTTCGGTAGGTGGAGAACCTTGCCGATAATCCCACAACTAGAAACCCGAGATCCATCCCATCTTCAATTTAGTACACTGGCCAGGGCCATGTTTTATCTCATCCGGAACCTTAAAGCCGTCAAGTTGATGCTGTGCATGTGTTGCGGCTCGGTTCACTAGTCTCAGGCTAGATTCTATACGAGACGCGGACCATTTCGTATAGATTTGATGACCTGAGTCAGGGCGTGGAGGAATCTTTTGTACTATTCATGCGGTACACTTTTCTGGTATTGAGAATTTTGCAAAGAAAAAGTTACGGGCGGTATGTAACAGACCGTGTATGCCAAAACCGAGGGGTAACGATACCACTCGACCCACATTAAATCGGGAGTTAAGGGTTAGTGTCCGTGGATTAAACAGTGGATTGATCAGATTCGACTCGGATCCTCGTAAGGCGCTAAGAAGAGTGATTGGCAGAGTTCCAGGCCGGGCGACAATCGGGAAGAAAAAGGAGCCAAAAATCAGTAAAAAACCAGTCACACAAAGAAAAAGAAATCTACTGTTTGGGGGTTAGTTAAGCAATCTGTTAGTCAGCGATCCTTGTCAATGCTCCTTTTTCTGGTCCCTTGTGTTAAGGTTTTTCTTTTCACTTTTTTGCTGAGGGACGATTGTCATAAGCTAATCTCATGCCAAAGTACTCAGTCCTGGACAGCCCGTGTTGAATTTCCATGGCTATGCCGGCGGATAGCTTTTTAGACCCAAATAACAATTCTTAGCAGACTTACTACTCATCAGCAAAAGAGAAAAAAAATATTTTTTTTGTCATCTTCTTTGACTGGTGATGTGATTCGAACCTGGACCCCAAACATAATCATGGTGCTCCAGCCCTCCCACTGACTGCCTGTAGGCTTTGAGTCCAGAACCCTGATTGGCGCCTAAGGGTCCGAAGGGGAAAAAAAAAAAAAAAAAAAAAAAGTTGATGGAAGATCGCGGAGGCGAAACTGCCATAGTCACAACGCTAGGCTCCCGGGTTTTCTCATCCTCTCCCTCTGTCATGTTCTTTCTCCTCTTTTTTGAAAGCCATCATTCATTAGTAAGGTTGCACCGCAGGTGACCTCGAAACAACAGCCACTGTGGCAGAGTCCATTGTTTGGACTGGGACTGCCGCTGTCTGTAAGGCATTCACTTGCCTTAATTCCAACCCAGGGCAGGCGTCTCTACATCCGATTCCCCGGATCACCTCAACGCAATCTCTGTACAAGCCACTTCATAGTTCGGTGTAACCGCTGAGAGAGGGATTTCTTTGTCTTCTCCTGGCCTATACATTTAACGGTTGCCTTAGAACCCTGTGGTTCTCTACTCCAGAATACGCCACTTCATTTGCTTCATTATCGTATCGTTTGATCTTCATCTCAGGTTCTCTTTAAATTTTCTTATCATCCCCCCACCTTACAGCTGTGGTTTTGTGAAAATCAAATCGCAGGTCGTGTCTTTCTTTCTTAGAATTCCCTTCTTTGAATATTCCTTTCTTTAGTCATTCATTTTACCGGAATTTTCTCTTTGTGAAACCTATCGCATTATGGCAGGTATTGATGAGGCGCTGCCCTTGAAGGGCAAGGGACAAGCTGCGTCTGGCTGGAAGACTTGGTCCGTCAAGAAGCGCATGCTGATTATCGGTTCTGTTGTTCTCGTGATCGCCCTCGCTATTGGTCTAGGCGTTGGTTTGGGAGTCGGTCTGAATAAGGGCGGAGGGGAAGACGAAGGCGAGGTTCCGCCTACCACCGGAGGAGGAGTGACCACAGCTAAGTGGCAGCCGGCCGTAGGAACGAAATGGCAGATTGAGCTTCTGTACGCGCTCAACGACACCTCAGTAGACGCGGATATCTACGACATTGATCTCTTCAACAATGACAAGTCCACCATTAACGGACTGCAAAAGCAAGGCCGCAAGGTGATCTGCTACTTCTCCGCTGGGAGCTACGAGAACTGGAGGCCCGACAAGGACAAGTTCAAGGACTCCGACATGGGCAACACGCTGGATGGATGGCCGGATGAGAAATGGCTTGACCTCAACTCCAAGAACGTACGCAGCATCATGACGTCGCGTCTGGATATGGCGGTCGAGAAGGACTGCGATGGAGTTGACCCGGATAACGTCGATGCCTACGACAACGACAACGGTCTCGATATGAAGAAGGAGGATTCGGCGAATTTCATGATGTGGCTCGCCAACGAAGCGCATGCACGCAATATGTCCATTGGCCTGAAGAATGCCGGGGCGATCATCCCCGCAGTGATCGACAACATGCAGTGGAGCGTGAACGAGCAATGCGCGCAATATGAGGAATGCGACACCTATGCCGCATTCATCAATAAGAACAAGCCCGTCTTCCACATCGAGTACCCCAAGGGCGACGACACCAACAACAACCAAATGGTCACCACGAGCCAGAAGAAGAGTGCTTGCGACTTCGAGGGATCCTCCAACTTCTCGACGGTCATCAAGAACATGAATCTGGATAATTGGATCCAGACCTGCTAGTCGCACAATTGATCATCATCTGGATACTCTGTTCGATCAGCAAGGGCGCCGGGAGTTTGAGATTGGGATTCCATCATCCCCATACCATCTATATAGTTTGACTATGATGTAATCTGCCTCATTTAATTAACTTTGACATTTCGTTTCTTTCATTTAATTCAAACGTCAATGCTTCACACTACCAATCCAATTGTTCCACGTGATCCCCGATATATATAACTCATCAGGCATAGCGACCATAGTTTAACCACTGAGGCAGCCAATAAGTCTCCGTCATATATATTAACTCGTGTTTGGCATACTTACTACCATAACTCTCAACCCGCTCCCACCACCCGACTCTATAAATATAAACCCCACGATTACAAACAAAATACAGGGTAGGATCATCCTCAGCCCAAAACGCAAAGGAAACAAAGTATGACAAACGAAAACCAACCCAACACATTCCAACTACCGATCCCCATAGCTTAAGCACTCAAGCACTCAAATGAAAATGACCTACCTTCCCGTGCCGCTCCAAACGGCAATACTAAAACGTAAACACCGAACCAAAAAAGAACTTTTGTAAAACGACGGTCGACAGGACCCGAGGTCTTCCATGACCCGTCTACCTCCCGCCATGAAGTACTAGTACCCAGTCGAACCTCGGCTGTTTCCCAAACAGGATACACACAAAGTTTTACATCAATGGAGACACAAGTCCCTCCAAAGCTACCGGATCATCTCGGCTAAGAGATCAGGTCCATCCTCCGTCGGGACAATCCGATTAAAAGGATCACCATCCGACCGAAACCCGAAGAACACCCAAAAAGAGCAGGGACCAGGGACCAAGTGGAGTGCGAAGCGGAGGGGGGCCGTCTACGAGAAAAGGGAACAATGAGAACAGGATCATGCATACAAAGGTAGTAAAAAAAAAAAAAAAAAAAAAAAAAAAAAAAAAAAAAAAAAAAAAAAAAAAAAAAAAAAAAAAAAAAAAAGAGGGAAACCCAAGATACTACATCGATGTGACCCAAGATCTTGCCAGATCAGAGGGGGGTGGGTCTCTCACTTACTTGGTTGGCCTCTTTTTTCGGGCGTTTGTGCTGTTGTTGTTTGGATTTTTGCCACGAAAAGCGGAACCGGACCATACTTTCTGAAACAACAGTCAGAGAGGGACGTCCCAAGGGAGCGGGTGGAAAGGGAGTTTTGGTAGGCTTCCATGGCTCTTCTATGGATTCTGTGAAAACTGTAACATTCGGTAAATCCCATGGTTGGGAGCGGAGGTTGGACCAGAAGCCACATGTTCGGTGGCTCCGGGCCGGACCAGACAACCTGAATTAGGCAAGACAGCGCAAATCCGGAAGGAATCATAATAATACTATTGAATAAAGGGCTGTTAGCACATTATTGTTACATACAGATTGGCAGGGGTTGTCTGGGGTTGTGTTTGTTGGCTTATTGGACCTGGAGACGGCCACGCGAACCCGACTAGACTCAACTATTCAACTTGGGAGCGAATCGCCAGGACCAAGATTTGCAGCCTTGTGTTTTTCAGTGCTTGCCCTCCGTGCCTATTCTTAGGTGATTTTCGCGGACTGGTCTGGTTTCATGTGGTTTTAGCTTCGTTTAGGGCAGAATTGGTGTGTTTGATCGCGAGTGGATGGGTTCGTTCGGTACGAGTCTTCGGGGTCCCTCCCGGTCTTCTTCTGGTTTGAACTTAGTTGGTTTAGACTACTTTTACCTAGTGGCTTAGTGGGGTTGAGCCATGCACTAGCCACTCCTGCTCCCTAAAGTACGAGTAGTACCCGATCAATCAGGCAGGTATTGGTATGTATGGTATTGTATTGTGGCTGTTGAAAATGACCATGAGTATGTACTGTCGGTACTCCGTACACCATTTTGTAATTCAAAATACCGACGGTACGAAGTACTTGGAGTGGGGGTTGTACTAGTTGAACCCCAATCAAATGTAAAAATACCACCCCCAACTTCTGCAGTACCTCTTCAGATATAGTGCTCTAGTAGCGATAGGAGGTGCTAGAGACGTCTTCCAAAATTAGAAAATGACACGACAGTGAAACATACAGTTGGTTCAGTAAGAAATGAAGCAGTGTCACCGTTGCTCGCCTGGTGAGCCACTTCTACTAGTATGTACCATCGATGCAACTAGATGATGTCCTAAGCGCGCTATTCGATATGCATAATGCATAGACTAAGAACTAGGAGACTAGTGGGCTAGTTAGTCACAACCAAAAAACTACTACAAAAGTCCACTCGATGGACGATGGAGAATAATCGATAGACCTCGGAGCTAAAGTACCAAGCGGCGCGTGTCGAGAAAATCACCCATCACTGGCAAATCCACGACTAAACTGATCAGATCGGAAGGAGATAAAGTTTCGGCGGACCGAAGCCAAAGAAAGTACTCAAGTGGTTCTCAGCGGAAGTTCCTGGATGCTGTGTTGCTGAAAACCATGGATTGGCGGATGGTGGGTCAGGAACGACTCCATCTCCTGCGCTAAAGGGAGAAAAATGGCTCCAGTTCTGAAAAGTTAGAAGACGTAGCCGCAGGCGACAAGAAAAAGAAAGAAGAAGAAGAAAGAAAAAAAAAAAAAATGGGGACGAGAGAAAAAAAAAAAAAAAAAGGAGTTCGTTCTCTTCAAGCGACGACTCAGCTGCGATTTGAAATTCTCATTTCAGCCGGTTCCTTGGCGATCACTTGCTCGTTGGTGCGGAATGGTCGGCAGAGCGCTGGTGGGTAAGAGTTTGACCGCTCCATGCCTTCTCATCAATGGCTCGGTTAACTGGTTCTGCAGCCAGCCATCCAGTTCGTGTTGCTAGGGGACCATTTTTTTCTCGGCAGATCAGGTACCGTACTAAATACAGTACCTCCTAAGGTACCTTTACCATCTTTGAATGGGTCGTCGCTTCCCCTTTCAGTTGGATTACCAACAAAGACCGAGGCCTTTTCCAACTGTGGTCATCTTTCCCAATGTGGAAGGCAGTGAGGCTGGTGTTCCCCGAGGCTTGACCACTGTCGTCATTCACCACGATTCTGTCGTCGCTTGTGGTACGAACTTGAAAAGAAAGATTAGACGCTTGGTTACATCTCCTCAGCAGATCATCCCTCATGATATCATTATTACTCCGGATCTCCAGTACCTGAGCGTAAATAGTCTTGACTTTAGATCACATCAGGTATACACAGTATGACATAACTCAATTCCATCGGACAAAAGTTGTTAGTCGTGGTCTTATTACTCCGGAATGCACCAGTAAACCTACGATTCGGGTTATAATCTGACAGGTTATGTACATACCTCAAAGTAATTCCCGCTGACTATAAAATGTGTCCATGAACCTGATGCGTTGTCATCGGATCCATTCTATAGATCACTACTAGTCAGCACATGGCGTCAAAAAAAATAAAAAATAAAACGTAAAAGGAAAGAAACGGTGACCAAACATTCTCCCCAATCGTTTCCTTACCGCAGAACAAAGCACACCCAACAAGACTAAGATGCATGTCTTACTATCTTACTAAGAACCAGACCTGGCCATGCATGATTAGACAGGTTCCTAAATCGATGTAGCGACACGGAATAGCATAACCTAAGGAACAGCCCATCCGTCCACTACTGATTGTATATGTTTTAGGCGCAACCGTGGGACGAATGTACAGGACAGGCTAAATGCAGCTCCCAAGACGGACTACCACATTCGGGTCTCCGAATGCATCCCATCTTCGGTCATCGCATAGTTTCTGTGCTAAACTGTCTCCATGGGTAGGTAGATGACCGTGCACTTTGCCTCTTCAGTAGCTTAACTTGATCGACTAAACTGGAAAGCCGGTGGACACTACTCGACCTCCCCCTCCACCCTACTAGGAGTCAGATCCTCTTGCTCATAGGGTGATTGTTGCCTCCCAATAGAATAGTCACTGGCTCAAATTCACTCACCCGCTCATGAAACCGACTGTGTCACACTTATTGCAGCCGGCCACATCAAGCACGGGGCAGCCCTTACTGTACAGCTTCTATTTCTAGTTACCTGGGGTTTCACAGACCGCGACCTCATGATGCGCACTAAGAGCGGTGGTGATCAAAGAACAACAACATAAGTAATGATAATGTAATGTATAATTAGTTGCATAGACTAGAATGCAGGACACGGGTGCAGTGAGTTGAACCTGGCTCGAATTATGACCAACATGAACTGACGGGGGCTCTGCTGTTTCTCGGAAGCGGACCTTGACCGAGTCTCTTGGGTCTAGGGCTCAGGATACGTATCGACGGACAGATGAAAATTACCCCGTCCGCGGTACAAAGTACCATTACAATACGTTACCACCGACGTCTCCCATCGGGGTGAGTTTTGACCACGGGAAACCGAGAGACAACAAAAAGGAAATCTTGACGATCGTAAACTCTATCGCAATTCTAGGTATCATTTGATAGTCACAACGGCCAAAGTCAAAGAGTATTATTTCCAATAGAATCATCATACAGGATATAGACGTTCATACAGTATAGACAGGTCGTAAGTTGATTAGTCAATCCAATCCATCAGACAAAAGAAAGCGCCGGCGCATATATTATCACTCAACGCCAGTCGTGCCTTGATCATAAGCAATGTTGCATCAGGTACGCTCGAAAAGCGCCGCCCCTATGGATTATTTAGCCATCCAATCGACAAATTCGCCCCACTTGCCCCCAAAGTTGGCATAGTAATCCGTGCTCAGGTGGGTAATGAAAATCTCATCGGCGGTCTTGCGAAGCTTCTTGACGAGATCACGAAGGTTCGAGCCTTCAACCGCGTCCGGAACGGAGTGGATCACAATGCAGAGCTGACCGCGACCACGATCGCTCTTCGGAAGAACGTCAAATTGCTTCGTGCCATTGCGCTCGTTGAAGGTGTCATAAGCCGCTTCGAATACGACAGTCGAGTCAGCGGAAGACATGTAACGAGAGTCTGGAACTGCTCCTGGGTTATGGACAATCTAGACAGCCACTGTTAGCATCAAAGTTGACCAGATTGACCCAATGAGATTGTCGCGGTTGTAGTCAGAAACCGTAATAGAACCTAGCGCCATCAAAGGTAGGTATAGGCCATATTGACTTTTCGAGAGGCAAAAATAAAAAATAAAAATAAAAATAAAAAGGCACCGAGGGTGGGGCATAGGATACGGGGGCATGAGGTACACCAATGTTAGATATCGAAACAAGCGATACCCATGTAAATTACCATGAATACCGTGGGGTAATAAAAATTACAAAGGGGTGAAAGAGAAGGGTCACACATACATAGTTGTCTGGACCAAGACCAGAAAGGCTTTTCACAAATGAGGTGAGCCCTTGCAAATATGACAACGCATCGGCATCATACTCTTGAGGCGTTTCGTCAAAGAATATCCCCCGAACCGCGAGCTTAGGGTTCGAACTGTTGGTCGGCCACGCTGCGTAGGTTTCGATGTCGCGATGCACGGCCGAAATGTTGCGTTTAGCCCAGGTTGTAGGGACATAACCCAAGAGACGCACGTTGTCATAAGAGGCGAGCTTGGGAATCTCTCGGGTATAATTAGCATCGGGCAGGGCATTGGGCCCTGGACCGCTGGCAGGGTTAATCACAACGGTAAAGTTGGCCTCTGGATGTGAAGAGATCCTGTGGCGCTTAGTTACTTTTCCCAAAAATTATAGCCTGCCACTTGCATGCATCATGCAATTGGCTTTCAGATTGCTTATGGTGTATATATCTCATGGACCAGAACATATCGGCCTTTTGGGGGGAGAGGGGGAGTAGTGGGGGGCGGAAATGAAGGTAAGAATTAGAAATACATATAGACAAAAGAAATATTTTTTTTTAGAAAAAAAAAATTTAGGACATACTCTTCTTCCAATGGATCCCAGGCACCATGTGCAGGGTACACATAGAGAGGAACGAAGATGTTAGCTTTAGGGCCCATGCTGTTCTTCTTGCGTAGAGTGACCACGACTGCCGGAGGTATAACGACCGCGAGAATGGCAATAAAAACAAAGACCCCCAATATAATTCGAGAGCGTCGACTTTGCAGACAGCGACGACCGCTCACGTGTTTGTCTGGCCCCATCGTTGCCATGTTAGGGAGGCAATTAAAAAGTGAATGCCTTCGTATGCAACGGAAAGAGGGCAAGAAAGTGGATTTCTGAGTCCTAGGCGGAAATATGCTAGAACCAGGCGCCGGAAGACTAAGAAATAAGTAGTCAGCTCTCGAAACCTAGCTTTCAGCCTTTGCCTTAGTGGTGGACCTTCTGGTGAACCAGAAAAATAGTACAGGCCGGCGGACCCAAAATAGTAGAGCGGGGCAGGTCTCTTTTCTGACCATGCAGCAGTAGGTCTCGGATCATTCAGTGTCGATGTCGAACAATTTCTTTCTCCCTGACTTATACCATATCCATTAAAGTCCTAGCCGTGGTTTTTCCCAACCCTGTGGAGTGCGGCTAGAAGTTCGCAGGCCACTTTCCCTTCTGCCCCATCTGAGGCGAACTCTGTTCGGAAAACACCAGTTAGATCTGGACTGCTTTTCCATGCCAAAGGGCTGACGTCCTGGGATAATTTCCTTTTTTATTTTTATTTTTGCTGTTTTTCTCTTTTTCTCTTATTTTTTTTTTT